GAGAGAGAGAGATGGAGAAAGGGAAGGAGAGAGAGAGAGAGTGGGGAGAGAGAGAGAGAGAGAGAGAGAGAGAGATTAAGAGTGAGTGAGTGGGTGAGAGAGAGAGAGAGAGAGAGAGAGAGAGAGAGAGAGAGATGGGAAAAAACTGCAGTTTCATTTCAGGAATATCACCAGCTATCATGTGTAAGAAACAATTATATTATAACGTTTGAACATTTGAACGTCTTGTAGACTTGTAACCTATGATTTCCCTGTGACAGTGAACGAAAAAACATCCATGTTTTTTTACACAGATTTTTTAACTCAGTATTTTGATAACTGGCCTAATGAAGTGGAAGGTGTCTTGCTCGTCAGAGAGTGGAAGGTGTCTTGCTCGTCAGAGAGTGGACAACTTTGCTGATATTATTGTTTGAAATGGCTTTGAGCTGTTTCAAGTTTGTTTGTTGGTTTGGTTTGGGGTTTTTTTTGTGAACTTGTAAAGTGGATTAAAAATATTATGTGTGCTTGGGTGTGCACTACACATGTTGCTAGTGTGCCAGAGGTATGTTTAACTAACAACCCAGCAGTAGATGGGAGTTTGTTTTTTTGTTATTTTTTGTTACTTCTATATATATATAGCCAATTTGTGTTCGCCAATTTGTATCATTATTGTCCACTTGTTGGAACTTTGACCTTTTTATGCGTTTATATCATGATGTGCTAATGAAATTTCCTTGACCTAGGAAAGGCAGCAGTCAGTTAGTAATTACTCCATTGTTCTTGTCCTCACTTCGAGATTTGCTCCCATGAACAACTGGTCATGAGTGTGCCTCGGAGAACATTGTACGTAGTACATAGTACGTCGATTCTCCGAGTTTTTGGATTCTGCTGATGGTCTCACTCTCAGTGGGTCTGTTGTGAGTGCCGCTGTGGTGCACCGAGAATGATAAGGCTCTATCTATCCTCACTCACGTGAAGAGGGCAGTGCGCTGCCATGAGCGAAAGGCTCGCAGTTAAAGGGATTTGAAAACAACGACAACAACAACAACAACAACTCTCATTTACGCGCGGTTATTACAAGATTGAGTTATTCTCTGCAGACTTTCGATGGGTTAAAGAAGCTTTTAACATTTTCGTTTTTTAGTCTCTTGTCCCTTTGGGCAGGACTCTTGAACAACACAACATGATGAACATCTGTGTGTGGTCTGACAAGTTATCATTGCAGTCATCAGGACAGATTAGGTAAAAATGATTGTTTGTTACGTACTCAGATTGTCAGTCTCTTCTGCAAATAGCTGCAGTCCAATGTTGTGTCCTTGTAAAAGGCACTTAACGCGAATAATTTCCCATTTGGCTCGGTCCTTTCGGATCTAGATGTTAAACTTGGAGATTACACCTAACCTAATAATGCTGGTAGGGGCGTTAAACTTATACCGTTTCACCATTTCATGAAAGAACTGTTTCCTATTTGCTGGAAAAATGTTGAAATATTCTCTGCTTTTACAGAGATAGATCTATCTATTCTTGCAGAGCTTCTCCATCATTTGTTTGTCGGTCCCATGCCGCGTGGAGCGAGAACCTTATCATTCCGGGCACACCTCTAGCTGTTGGCCTTGTGTGCCTTATCATTTTCATTATCCCTTGTTGTTGTTTTTTTTCTCACTACAGCTACTATTTGGTGTACCGTGGAGGGGACGCTAACTGTTTGTACAAAGAGGCTTAAGCAAAACTTTATTATATTAATATATATACCATACTTCTCTATGCATGGCACAAGGTGAATATGGACCCGCAAAGATATGTGAAATTTTCCCTTTGGGCTTTTCATCCCCGTTGTACGTTGTGTCTTTTATCTCTCTCTCAGCTGCTCACAGTTCAGTGAAATGTCTACACGTGTCGGAACGACTACAACCGTGATTTCTTCTTCTTCTCTGGTGAAACGTTAGGTTGAAATGATTAGACTCGAACCCTTGGCCTTAAGCACTCACGCACACACCAACTACTTTCTGTTGTCTTCTCGCTTTTGATCAGATTTATGTCAGATTTTTAAATTAAGATAAAATAGTAATTGCACATTTTAGAAAGTTTAGAGGATATTATGCTGTATGTGTTGTGCACATATATGTGTGACCCAGGTATGCTGCGGACTTGTTGGATTACGCTGAGCGTGCCCAGTTTGGTGATGGAAAATGTCTAACTGAACAGGATGGAAAAGAAAGGGGGGTGGGGGGAGGGGGGTGTCGGAGAGGGGGGTGTCTGTCAGAGAGGGGGGGGAGGAGGGGGGTGTCAGAGAGGGGTGTTGAACTTTATAAAGGAGAACAGACAAAATATACTTCAGCGCTTTGGTCTCCTGTATGGTTCCAGGAAATGGTACCTGTACAGACTTTTTGAAGAAAGATGTTGCTTGTGTTCACAGTCTTTTTTTTTTTTAAGCTCCTCACTAAAACAGTTGGAAGCTTGTTCAATAAGAGCTGAATTAATTTTGTTACTTTTACTCGGCCATGTGAATTGAAAACCGATGACCAAACAAATTCATGTTTAGCTGCAAATTTGAAGGAACGTTTCCTCCTTCCAAAGTATTTTATCTCAGTAATGTTTTCTGAAGATAAAGATGTCATCACCCTACTAGGAAAGAGAAATCTGGACAGGCTCGTGTAAAATGAACATTTGAAAATTGGAAATTCTGGATTATTTTTCATCTAATGGTAGAACGTCTTTGTTGATTACAGCAACCAATTGGAATACAAAAGTCGTTGATAGGTGACATGGAATGTTCCTACAGTTTGCATTATATTGCTTAATATATTATTAAAGCTGTTTTTGAAGGAAGATTTGGAAGCAAATATATACATTTTATATATTTTTTTTTTAGCATTGACAACTAAATCCAGATAACTGGAAACACTGTGCAAAAATGGTCACTGGGTTCTTGTTTCTCAATGTGATATGTGAAGCGTGCTGACAAAATGAGTTACTTCTCGGATTCAGGCCTTAAGGAAATAGATACATCACACTTATAGGGGAAGTTTTTACAATTTATAAGTATGAAATAAAAGGTATGTTATATCTAAAGAAATGTGGCATCAATAGAAAATCTACAAATTTGACCCTAGTATCAATTTTTAGCCAATATCTCCATTTGTGGACTGCGAGAAGTAACTCATTTTATCAGCACACCTCACATATGTGTTTTACCAAATTTTTCTGCCATTTGAGAAGAAAAAAGAAATGTGTTCTGCTTTGAAGCTAGCCTATCCTTCCTTTACTTGTTTGGGTAAAGATTTGTTGACTTGTAGCTACGACCTATCCCCCAAGTTCTGTATGCTGAGCATAATAATCTGGTACCACATCTAGAAGCTTCTGCACAATATACTTTTGTGTTCATGAAAGAGCTGGGTCGAGGTATCGCTCGTTCGACAGTGAGTGTTTGTTCAGCAGTACCTCAAAATGAGTCACTTCTCTATATAATATGTGAGGGAGCGTGGTGGAATCAGGCTCTCATCAATTTTTGAGCATGTAGAGTTATTGGTATCATCTTAAAGCTTGTTCACTTGTCTTTATTTGGGTGAAAAAAATATCCATTTATCTTGAACACAAGTCGGTCACCTGTTTTCAGAGGTAAGATTAGTGAGAAAATGGCCGCGAAAGATTAGTTATTTTTTTAGCTTAAAAGCCCATGGTAACTGAAGATTTACATTTTTATGCCTTTAATCAACGCTTTTCAGAAAAATCCACCCAGAAATTTAATGAGCATGAAAGGTGTTGAGCCGAAAAACTAAAATTATATAAAAATTCACATACTTGCGGAAACATGCAGGTTTCTTCACTTTGATTATTTTGACGAGAGCTTGATTCCACCACGCTGCCTCATTTATAATATCATCACCACTGCTAAAAAAAGAATAGGCAACACCTTCACAGGGTGAGGAAAGAAGATTGCAAACATTTTTACTCCTCCCTGACCCTGCAGCTACAATATTTCAGCGGTTGACCGCAAAAAGTGACTGTATCCAGTTTTCACAGTTTCGACAAAAACGAGTTAGAAATTTTGATGATTTAGAAATCTCTATAATGTAGATCTAGTCCGAAAAAAAAATCTTTATATTATCTTGATTGGCTCCCGAATTAAAGTAGGGCTTCGATATTTACTGAGGTAAAAGACAGGCTTACGTTAAAATCTCACTACCCGTATTGATAACTGCATTTCGACCAAAAGTAGATATAGTCACTTCTTGCACTCGGCCATCGATTATACTTTTAAAAAAAAAATGAAAAAAATAAAGAAATGCACAGCTTGGCCACAGGGGACACAGAGGGTGAGATTTTAAACCAGGTCAAGAGAGCAACTCACAGTACTACTGAATACAAAACAAAACCCAAAAAAACCAACTCTCGCAATTCACGTCGTGTGTACCTATAAATGATGAGAGCCCAGATGTATGGCTGTCCCCAGGGTTTTATGCACCTCGCATAATTTTGCAAAATTTGATCATTTTTTGCATAATTTCTGATTGCTTTCCTTTATCATTCTTTGTTAAAATTAACGGAGTCGCATAATTTCACTTTTTTGGGCTCAGTTTGCATAATTTCATAATTTTTTTTGCTTAAAACCGCGGGGACAAAGTACGGGTCAGGATTATGCATTTCTTTTTTTGAAGAGTGTATTTTCTCCCCGTTATAATGCCCGTGTTGTTACCGATGTTTGGAACCATACGTCAAGACTGAAGCTGTCTCAGTGCCATGCTTAATTTTCTCCCCTTTCAAATTTCTCCCATGCTTCTATGTTGGATATCTTTGTTGACCTACATTTTGTTGAACTCTCTGGCTATGCAAAGCAAAATATTATATATATAAAATTTATCTTGTAAACTTCTTGTCATTGGTGCTCTGTGTATAGGTAAAACAAATAAGTAAGGGTGTCATTCAACAATCTTGTGATTATGTTCTGTTTATTTTTTTACTTCAACGGTCCAACGTGTATGGAAATAAAACTTTGAGACAACTATAAGGGGATCATCAGGAGCAGAAGGAATGATGTCTCTCCTATAGTCTGTTCCTATAGTCTGCTCCTGTAGTCTGTTCCTATAATCTGCTCCTGTAGTCTGTTCCTATAGTCTGCTCCTGTAGTCTGTTCCTATAGTCTGCTCCTGTAGTCTGTTCCTATAGTCTGCTCCTGTAGTCTGATCCTATAGTCTGCTCCTGTAGTCTGATCTTATAATCTGCTCCTGTAGTCTGTTCCTATAATCTGCTCCTATAGTCTGTTCCTATAGTCTGCTCTTGTAGTCTGTTCCTATAGTCTGCTACTATAGTCTGTTCCTATAGTCTGCTACTATAGTCTGCTACTATAGTCTGTTCACTTTCTCAGATCCTAGTTTCTTACAATTTTCTCAAAAACTGTCAGGTTTATTGCCCAGGTTTTTTTGCACAAATCACGACATTTTGTCTGACTGTAAGATGTCCGTGTCTCTTAATCTACACGTTGAAAGATTTATTCAAAACGAGGT